TCTCTCTCTCTCTCTCTTTCTTTCTTTCTTTCTCTCTTTCTTTAATTTTTTTACCTCCTACTTAAGAGTGAAGGCATACAGTATTTCTCTTTCTGTGCCTGGTTTATTTTACTTAACATAATATTCTCTAAGTTCATCCATGTTGCTGCAAATGGCAGGATTTTCTTCTTTTTTATGGCAGAATAGTATTCCATTGTGTATATATACCGTTTTTTCCTTATCCAGTCACCCACCAATGGACGTTTAGGCTGATTCTAACTCTTGGCTACTGTAAATAGAGCTGCAATAAACAAGGGAGTGCAGGTATTCTTTGACATGATGATTTCCATTCCTTTGGGTGTATGCCCAGCAGTGGGGTTGTGGCAGTTCTATCTGTAGTTGTTTGAGGAACCTCCATATTGTTTCCATAATGGCCGCACTGATTTACAACAGTGTAGGAGGGTTCCCCTTTCTCTACATCCTCACCATCATTTGTTATTCTGTCTCTAAAAACTGATCTACAATAATTGAATCAGTGTTTTTAACAATAACCCAATATCCTTTCTAACTGAATTTAAACATTCAAAAATGATCATACATCTACTCTTCAACAAGTATGGATCTATTAATTTATTAAACATTCTACCAAAATCTAATAGTAGCTAAATGCTTGACAAATTGTATGTTTCAGACCAATACTTTCCATGGAGACCAAGCAGGTTGTAAATACAAATCTTCCATATTTGTTCAGAGTCATTTTTTTAACGACTCATGGGGAAATTCAGCAGGAAAAAATATTAATTTACTTGTAGCTTTAGTTGACTTTTCATCAGCATTCATTCTGTATGCAAGGCATCACTTCTCCAGAGCCTCAAGGCAACTGAAAAAAAAGCACTTGAAAATCCACAGAAACTTGGAAAACTTGCTATCCTTCAGAACTCAAGATAGAGCACAGCCTTATAACACCAAGGTCACCAGTTCTGATCCCCATACCAACAAGCTGCCAAAAAGTAGATAAATACCAGAAAATCACTTTCCATAGTCCAGTGGAGAGTGAAAAGTGTGGCTTTTAATGTCAGTCTTTTCAAAGTCATAGCAAAGCAATACATCTTGACATTTTCAAACTATCTCAGAATTTATGGAACAGAGAATGGCATCTCTTTTTATAAGATTCCAAGTTACTTAGCCTTTTAAATAATAGAAAAGTCTATAATAGCCTTAAAAGGCCATTAGCAAAAAGGATATCTAGGATGTCTTGTAAAAGAATGTCTTATGACCCAATAACTTATACAAAAATGTAGGGCAAAAGAAAATCTATGCACAATGTATAGCCGTCAGGAAATTGTAAGAGAACTGTCAAATCCCTAGCAATGATGGTAAATAGGGAAACATTTGAATTGCTCCTATTTTCCTGTACATATTACTCCATTTCATTTTAATATTTAATGTTAAGGATGAGTTATAGGCAAAGATATAAGCTCAAAATAAATTGCCCATTATATACACCTCATCTTGTAAAAGACAAAGCCAATAAGAATGATCTTCTGATGAAACAGTGAATATGTTCCGGTGGAAAAACACAGATTTGTTTTGTTTGGGACCCTCATTCTTTACCTGTTATTTATTGATTACATATCATTTTAGATGAGTTGACTGCCAATCCTCTTTATTATGAAAGGACAACCAAGGAGGTGAAAGACCTGTACACTGAAGAAATAAATTGAAGAAAACACGAATTAATGAAAATACATTCCAGGTTCATGGATGGGAAGATTTAATACTGTTAAAATGTCCATACTACCCAAAGTGATCTACAGATTCCATGAAATTCTATCAAAAGTCCAAGTCAATTTTTATAGAAAAAGAAAAAATAAATCCTAAAACTTGTATGAAGTGACAAAAAAATATGTATAGCCAAAGCAATTTTGAGCAAAAAGAACAAAGTTGGAGGTGACACACTCCCTGATTTTAAGATATATTATAAAGCCATTGTTATCAAAACAGCATGATACCGGCATAAAAACAGACATATTGACCAATGGAACAGGATAGTAAGCCCAGAAATAAACCCAAGTATATTCAGTCAATTGACTTTCAAAAAAGATGCCAAGAACACATAATGGGAATAAATGATGTTGGGAAAACTGGAACATTGTGTGACATCACTCAAAAAAACCTACTCAGAATGGATTATAAACTTAAATTGTAAGATCTGAAACTGTAAAACTTTTAGAAGAAAGCATAAGGGAAAAGCTCCACAACAATTGGCCCAAGCAATGATTTCTTGGATAGGACAGGTAAAAAAAGCACAGGTAACAAAATCAAAAATAGACAAATGGATTTCATCAAACTAAAAATCTTCTGCACAGCAAAGGAATCAATTAACAGAGTGAACGAAATCCGTGAATTGGGAGAAAAATTTGCAAACTATACATCTGAAAAGGGGCCAATATCCAAAATTTACAAAGAACTGAAAAAAGTCAATAGCAAGAAAATTAATAACCCGACTAAAAATGGGGCAAAAAATCTGAATAAACATCTATCAAAAGAAGGCATATGAATGACCAACAATAAAAACAAAATGTTCAACATCTCTAATTATCAGGGGAATGCAAATTGAAACCACAATGAGATATCATCTCACATCTGCTAAAATGGCTATTATCAGAAAGACAGTGACAAATGTTGGTAAAGATGTGGAGAAAAGGGAAGGTTTGTAGAATGTTGAGGGTAGTGTAAATTACCATAGCCATTTTGGAAATAGTATGGACGTGCCTCAAAAAGCTAAAAATAGGATTGCCATAGATCCAGCAATCCCACTCTTAGTTCTATACCCAAAGGAAATGAAATCAGTATCTTGAAGAGATATCTGTAACTCCCATGGTTGTTTCAGCACTATTCACAATAGCCAAGATATGGAAGAAACCTAATTGTTCATTAACAGATGAATGGATAAGTAAAATGTAGTATATATACACAATGGAATATTATGCAGCTTTAAAAAAAGAAAATTATGTCATTTGCAACAATATGGATGGAACTGGAAAACATTACACTAATTGAAATAAACCAGGCACAGAAAGACAAATACTGTATGATCTCACTTACATTTGGAATCTAAAAAAGTGAATCTCATAGAAACAGAGTAAAAGAGTGGCTACCAGAGACTGCAGGAGAGGGAGAGGAATGGGGAAAGAGGGGATATTGATGAAAGTGTACAAACATTTTGTTAAACTGGAGAAATAAGTTTGAGTGATCTATTGCACTCCATGGTGACCGCTGTTAATAATAACGTAGATTTTTAAATTGCTAAAAGAATAGATTTTTAACATTCTCCCCACAAAAAAAAAAAAAGTTGGTGGGGGGATGGATATGTTAATTAGCTTGGTTGAATCTTTCTATAATGTATGTGTTGACTAAAACATCACATCATACCCCATAAATATACGCAATTATTATTTGTCAAATATAAATGAATAAATACATAATTTTTAAAGGACAATTTTTTTTTACAAGTAGATGATACAGTTTTATTATCCCAATAAGGAGCTACCAGAAATAATAACTAACCATGCTGGTGAATTATTGCCTAAAGGAAGTCCACAGATTCATATACAGTTATCATTTTGAGTGTGTGTTACATAGTTTCTCAGTGGTAATTAAAAATCTAATTTGTAGCGTGTTTTTCTAATGGAGCATCTCCAAACTTAATGACAGGCCTGCTCACTTATTTTGAAGGGTNAAATACTGTATGATCTCACTTACATTTGGAATCTAAAAAAGTGAATCTCATAGAAACAGAGAGTAAAAGAGTGGCTACCAGAGACTGCAGGAGAGGGAGAGGAATGGGGAAAGAGGGGATATTGATGAAAGTGTACAAACTTTTTGTTAAACTGGAGAAATAAGTTTGAGTGATCTATTGCACTCCATGGTAACCGCTGTTAATAATAACGTAGATTTTTAAATTGCTAAAAGAATAGATTTTTAACATTCTCCCCACAAAAAAAAAAAGTTGGTGGGGGGATGGATATGTTAATTAGCTTGGTTGAATCTTTCTATAATGTATGTGTTGACTAAAACACCACATCATACCCCATAAATATACACAATTATTATTTGTCAAATATAATTGAATAAATACATAATTTTTAAAGGACAATTTTTTTTTTACAAATAGATGATACAGTTTTATTATCCCAATAAGGAGCTACCAGAAATAATAACTAACCATGCTGGTGAATTATTGCCTGAAAGAAAGTCCACAGATTCATATACAGTTATCATTTTGAGTGTGTGTTACATAGTTTCTCAGTGGTAATTAAAAATCTAATTTGTAGCATGTTTTTCTAATGGAGCATCTCCAAACTTAATGACAGGCCTGCTCACTTATTTTGAAGGGTCCCTGGAATGTCTCACATGTGTTGAATATTATACGTCCACTCTGTCCTCCTCAGGACACTGACACCACAATGCTATCATCCTCACTTCCTATTATTTTTCTGGAATCTTATGCTCCTGCTTCTTTTAATAGGCCATACTATTTACAGTGATCAGATATTAGATCCAAACTGGGACAATTTTGACAGTGAAAGAGAGAACTATTAATAATTCCACCAGGTCAACGGTGTTAACTNTGATGGGCCATAATAATCATATACACTGTATATTGACAAAATAAAAATTAAAAAAAAAAAACAGTAACAAAGAGAAAATTCTAAAAGTAACTAGAGAGAGAAAAAAAGGCACATATGTGCAGAGGAGCAAAGATGAGGATGACAGATTTCTCATTGGAAACAAGGTAAGTAAGAAGATAGTGGGACAACATCTTTAAAGTCCTAAAAGCAAAAACTGTCAACATAAAATTCTATACCCAGCAAATTATTTTTCCAAAAATAAAGGCAGTATTATTCAGCAATAATAATAAAACAAAAAACCCAGAGTACTGACATATGCTACAACATAAATGAACCTTGAAAACATTATTCTAAGTGAAAGAAGCCAACCAGAAAGACCATTTATTGTATGATTCCATGTATATATATGAAATGTCCAGAATAGGCAGGTTTACAGAGTCAGAAAGTAAATTAGCAGTTGCTAGGGCACGTGGTGGGGATAGGGCATAGTTGCTAGTTGGGGTTGAGGCATGGAAGAGTTGATAGTGACTTGTTCTAGGTACCACGTTTCTTTTGGGGATTATAAAATGTTCTAAAATTAAATCATGGTGATGGTTGTAGAACTATGTGAGCATACTAAAAACCATTGAAATTCACAAGTTGTATACATTAAAGATGTACAGCTTTTTGTATGTCAATCATACCTTACTTAATAAACTTGTTTTTTTGTTTAAAAAAAAAAAAGATAAAATTCTAATCTGTGACACAGTAAACCCCATAAACATAACAAGAGACTGCAGTTTAAGGAGAAAGTTGCATGTTAAGGAATCTTCATGAAAGGTTATGATAAACTTTAGGAACAGTGAGATTTGATCTCTAATTAGGGTTTTCTTTTTTTCCTTTTCTGTGTCATTATTCCCTTTAGTAAGTAGAATCCCAGAGTGAGGTGTACTTCAGAGAATAAAAGGAGGGTAAATCCACACACGGGATAAAACGGACCAAGTAAAGAACTGCATCAACATGGAAGACGTTGAAGAACAGGCAGAAATGATTAGCACTGAAGCCTAAACAGTGGTCCAGAACAAAAGATTACCAGTCACAACCAGTAGCCTATAAAGATGCCCTTTCAGTCATCCGTCAGGTGACTTTCTATCTCCCTCCAATGGTACATGGTTTTCTCCTGAGGAGCTCAGCTAAAGATCAGAAATTGCTAGTCACTCTGTTCCCTAAGTTCTTGGCAAAGAAGGACCAATCTGCAATCTGGTGGTCCCACCTTGTGGGCAAGTGTAGACTGACCAACACTGAATTCCACAAGGTCAGAAAACCATAAATCAGTGAAACAACTCTGATCCCATTTTTAAAAATCTTATTTCAGGTAAAATGGATTCTACCCAGCTTCTTCTGGAATATCATAATGAAAGAAAACCACGCAAAAAAAATAATATATTGACCCTTCCATGAAAGAAATTCCCAAGAACTCCAGAGTAGGAATAAATATATTTACTTGACATAAAAGCAGGGCTGTGAACCTGGATACAAAACCTCTACGGTGGTTTGCCAATCAAATCTTCATGACCTCCTTGGGTATACTGACAGCTCCTTATCTGAGACAAATTTTGGCTCAATTTATCTAAATCTAACAGTTTTATCTATTAAAGACACTACACATTAAAACATTTTATCTTCCATNAAATAAAAGGCTTTTTTCTTGTCTGGATTCCTCTACTTGCCCTCACAATTAAGCTCTTCAAAAACAAGAAGAACAAAAATAAACAAACAACAACTACAAAAAAACTATAGAAGTTTTTTAGAAGTCACTGACTTCTAAAACACTGACATTTATTTATTTACTTATTGTCATTATGTACTGCCACGGAGAAGAGAATTTTAGAGCTTTAGAGCTTTGAGAGATGAATATGAAACAGCAGCAAGAACTTACCTCTTTAACTCTGGTTTTCTTAACTGATCTCCACATTGTGATTATAAAATCACCTGCCCCTTATCCATTTACTTGTTAAAAACTTTTCTTTTTAATAGGTGTTTCACTGCCTCTTTCACATCCTTGTTCCTAAGACTATAGATTAAAGGATTCATCATGGGAGTCATCACCCCATAGAACATGGATATGAGTTTGTCAGTAGCGTCCAAGTCATCAGAATTAAGTGTCTCTGTAGACTTGGGCTTCATGTACATGAAGAGAATGGTTCCATAGAATATGATCACCACAGTCAGGTGGGCTGAGCAGGTAGAGAAGACTTTGCTTCTCCCCTCAGAAGAGTGAATTTTGAGGATGCTGACCATGATTAATGTGTAAGAGATAATGATTAGTAACAATGGTGTCAATATGAACAATGTCGTGGCCACGAGCATGATGAACTCATTGCCTGAGATGTCTGCACAGGCCAATTTCATGACAGCCAGAATTTCACAGGAGAAATGATTGATGACATTATTCCTGCAGAAAGGCAATTGTACCACAAACGCAGTTTGTACTGCAGAGTTTACAGCCCCTGCAAACCATGACCCAGCTGTCATGGTCACATAGGAATCCTTGCTCATGATGACGGGATATCTCAGAGGGTTGCAGATAGCC